TGATGATTCTATCGTTGATCTAGGTAGGTATTTGGATATCGTAAAATCAAATCCCAAGAGAAAGAACGAATGTGATTCTTCTAAGATGGATAGGTAGATGGAAGGATAGAAGAAACCAAATCAAACGAAGAAAAAGTTGGTATGAGATGAAATGGAAAGAGAAATAATGTGGAAGGGCAGGATAGATGTACTCAAGTACGAGCAGCAGTAGAGTAAGGGTACTGTAGTCTGTGGTAGGCGGAGCAGTCGAGCGACGCAGTATGTATGGGGCTGTGAACTGTGAACTGTGTGAATGACGAAAAAACACAGACTTTTTTATGGGGAAATCCTGGTTGATGGTCGAAAGATGTGAGACATTAAGGGATCTTCGATGAAGGGCAATGCAGAGAGAAGTTTTTGAAGTTTGTGAAGTTTTGAAGTATTGAGGTTTAGATGTTTTCATGGAAGAAAAAGAAGGAAAGAAGGAAGGGAAGGGATAGATTCAATTTGATAGAATCTTACATTGATACTAGGTATTCATAACCAACAACATACTAGGTACTCTCTAGTAGGTCCTTCCCTTCCTCTCTTCCTTGCTTACTCATCTCATTCCTGTATCCAGCCCTGACCTGGTCGAAGGAATATCTTATTCCGTATCAATAATATATCAATCTACCACAAACTCACATCTCAATCTCTCAAAGGACTATCACGGTTGTATCACACCACCACACTCTTTGCTGTTGACCCTTTCACGCCTTCCCATCCATCCATCACCTCGACAACTTGTACTCCCTCCAACCCCTCAACCCTACCGCCCTTTCCTCGCACTACTCCCTTCCTTCTCACCCCTGAAGATGCAGAAGATACAGACATGAATACAAACATGAATAAGCCATGGCAACGCAACGCAACGCAAACACACCCACCTCCTTTGCTGCGTATTCGCACCCACCCACCACTTTACCATGTCTGCACATAGTATATCACCGTGTGGCTGGATCCTTTCATTAACTTCTCGCCCTAAGCCTCTATAGGAATAGTTTCATCACAGATTCGTACCTGATTCATCGCCCTACCGTGGCTCGCGAGTGACACGAAAAATGGCACACGTATCCTTTTAACCTCAATTCACATTAATTACTACAACTTCAAAATTAATTATTAAATCACAATATAATAATATCAACTTGCCGTAATTATTATAAGGATAAAACGTATTTCCAACAGTATAATAAAAATTTTGTTAAAGCTAAAACCTAGGCTATATTTGATAAAATAGTTGATGGAATTATCACTATTTTCAAAGCTCGAGTATTCAGGGCCTACAATATCGTACCTTATATTGGATATCGATATTAATATAATCGCAATTCAAGATGTTTATATAATTTTATAATATATAAAGAGATTAAAGAAGCAAAAAAAACCCTTATTCTTTGCAATATATATACTATAGAAATTATAATCCAAATAAAGAGTTTTGAGATTAGATCTCTTAATTGGAAGTAATTGAGAGAGGTATATAGATTAGATTAATTCAGAAGGATTATTGTATAAGCTATAGAATCTATAGGATATCGAAAATATATAGTTTATTATAAGGAATAGATTATATAAAGGATAGCTGCTACTAGATTCCAATTTGCTTATAATATATTAGCTAAATACCCTAATCCGAAGGATTAAAGAAAAATTAGATTCTCTGATAAATGTCATTAAGGTTTTGAACCTGAAAAAAAATATAGAATTATTAGAAAGCTAAACTAGAGGCTCTATTCTGAGTATATTCAATTCAGAAAAATAGAAAAGAAAGAATACTACAATAAATAATACTACTAGGCAGTAATAAGCTACAATTTTAAAAGCAATCTTATATATTACAATATTTCTGAAAACCGAAATAATAAATTATCTTATAAGATTTATATCGATATTATATTGAATAAAAAGGTAAAGTAATAATTAACTATATCAAAGGATTTTGTACTCGAAAAAGATAGTAATTCAGAATACAGTTATGAAAATAAGAAAAATAATATAATAAAGAAATAAAAAAGAAATTATAATTTAGAAATCTATCAAAACTGTTATGATAATTCTAATCTCTCAATCATTGAAAATATCTGATAAATCCCAAAACAAATCGTTCGAAAGTATATTTATTAGGACAATATAATTATATAGGAACTTATAAATAAAGGTTAGAAGCAAGTTATTATTGAATATATTAATAAACTAATAAATATTATATCTCAAAGACTTAGAAATATTATTAAAATAAAAGAATAATTTACTAGATAATGAAAAGATAATCAAAAGAGTAGTTTTTAGAATAATTTCCTTCTCGAAATAACTTACTTTTAAAAGAAATTAAACTACAATACTATTTTATATCAATTATATAATTATATTATTCAAAATAATATTTTATATAGTATCAATATTAATTTTTTTATCTTATACTAAATCTCAAAGCTCTGAATATAACAAATTTAAAAATCTCTGTTAATAAAAGCAAATCGATCCTTTGTAATGAATTATTCTATAAATATTGTATTTAGAATTATAAAACTTATATAGAATTAATTTCTGATATTGAATTAATAAAATTACCATATTATTCTTATTATAAATATAAAAAGTGGTAATATTAAATTAATTGAAAGAGAAGTGTTATTTTATTAAATGAGAATTACAAATTTGTATATGCCATTTTTCCTGTCACCCGCGAGCGTGGGTCACCCAATCAAACCAGCCGGACTGACTGAAAAAGTCTATTTATATCCCTCTTCTTCGCTATTGTCTTTTTGATTAAACCCTACCGATAACCACTTTGAGCGTAGTCGCGTGCTAGGTGGTCTCAAACACATCGCCAGCTAACTTGGGAAAACGAACGGTGGAACAGGAAATGGAGATGAGAATAGTATTTTGTGATGCATCAGTAATATCAAGTTTCCTCCTACACGAGACTTTATGCTGCGTCGGAGAAGAGTATCATTTTTAAAACATCAAACAGCAAATAGCAAATCGCAACTTTCATGCCCAGGTACCTAGGTAAACTTCTCACCTCTCCTCCCTTACTCCCTTAGTACGTAAAAAGCACGGTAACACTCCGGAAACCTTAATTTATTCTCTTCAACAAACCATCCAGAGATATGGATATCCATCCCAATCACTGTCAATCAATCCATCAATCAATCAAAAGTATGGAGAAACCTCGCCGTCCAGCTACGGTAGTCCGCGTGAACGGCTCTGACAGGTGGGTAGGATCGATAGCAAAATTCTTACCTACCTCGCCTACATACATACTTGCTCCAGCCCTCCCAGCCCAGTGTGTCAAAACTTCACACCAGAGATATCCGGCCATCATATCATCACATCATGCCCAAAGTTCCTACGCGTCTTTTAGAGTTAGGTTGCCAAGATCTGCAAAGTGTCAAGCCGTGCCGTGTCAACTTAATTCTGGTCGTGGCTGAGAAGTTAGAACGAACTTTCCAGAGAGCAGATGCATGCGATTACATTTAATTATGGAGATGCATATTACGATTAGAGAGTAGATTTATATATATGAATATTTATATACATAAATGGGTTTGATCTGAAAACTTCAGATCGTAGGTTCTCAACTGCTTTCACATCTGTAGAAGCCTTGATGCGCAGATAGGCTTAGATGGTTACCTACATGTTAAGGCACCGCGCGCGGGGATTAACATCGTTTCAGTGCCCTGTCCTGTTACTGTGTGCTCTGGCCCCGGGTTGGTTGGAAATGGCATAGACCCCCTGCCTGCCCTTCAGGATACTTTGTAGAATTTCGTGGTTTGGCTACGATATACGGAGTACGATACTGTGCATATTTCTTCCATGCGGGGATATTGATATTGATATTGATATTTAAGTTTTGATGGGAGATTTGTTTCGCTTGGGATGGGGAACTCACTCATCGTCGGGTGTCACCGTACGTATACCGGTATATGAGGAAGTTTATCTCGCACTGTGTTGGCGTGTTAGTAGGCAGGTAGGGTACTTTTACGAGGTATCATCTACATGTGAGTATGTCTTGTCAGTGGGAAAAACAGTGCAAAGACTTTAATTCTAAATTGTGAAATGCGGCCTGGGGAAGTGTAAGTTGGATCTTTGAGATTTGAGTTGTATCTTAAACTTGGAATAGATTATGAAAAGGAGTTTTATGAGTTCTATTCGCTGATATGTATTGGATGTCTATACTTAATAATCGCTGGCTAATATAGAAAATTAAAAATACTATGCTGTAGTCGAGTACAAGGGATAAATCTGCTTTTAAGTTATGTTACCATTCAAAATAGTATTAATTCTTTCCACGCTGTCCATCACGATTGGGGAGGTTAAACCCCATAATTCAAAAAACGAAACAATTGCTAGCGCTACTACTAATACCAAATCGCTCAAGAGCCGAAAAAACTCCTGAATTGGGTTGACACGTTGAAGCATTCTACTTTCTACATATCCTTTACTTCCTCGAGCGTAGCGTACAAAGTCTTCCGCAGGGAAGTGACGCTGAGCATGTTTGGAATTCGTCACGGAGATCGTCAAAATATCTAGGGCTGACACTCGATTCAGGCGTCGCCTAGTCAACGGCGATAAACGGTTGCTACTGTCTTTGGATTCCTGCTGTTTTTGGATACTACCAGGCAGAGCCTTTGTATCCTGTCCCAGTGTTCAATCCGTATTAGGAGCCTCAGTGATTCTTCGGAAACAATGAAATAATCAATATTGAAGTTTATGAGAGCTTGTGCTGCAAAAACATGGGGATTAGTGGGAAAATTGTAGCAGTATAAGTTGTCCAAAGAGGGGCTAGACATTAGGATGTACGACAAAGAAGAATGGACGGCACTTGCGGGTAGAGCTTTCCCCTTGCAGAGATTCTATGGATTGTGACGAGCGAGCAAGTCGTTCGTCATACTCTGGACTCATGCAGTTAAGCATTGCTGTACCATTTTGGGGACTTGAACAATTAAGAGTGAAGAAGCAAGGATCATCGGCTACTTCTTGAGTGTCATGCTCCATGTATCAGGTGTGCCAGCATTTTTGGGAAGGAGAGTGCTTATGCGAGTAAGAAAAAGCTCCTCGATGGGCAAATCGATAATAATTGCGGCGTCATCAATGGCAGCAACAGTGGCAGTAACGATGCGCCTGTGAAGAAGATTCCCTTATCCATTTTAGATATCGATGCTCCAAATCAAGCGCTCTAAAGTTGAAAGGCAAAGTGTACCCGCGATAGCGCCTAGTTGTGCTTATCATCTGAATTTTCATCACAATTGATCCATGACTGCCTTCGTCCCCACTGTTCTCCTGAGACTCTATTCCATCGAGTGAATGAACCGACTCACTCGTGTTGTCCTGCTCTTGATTTGTCCGCTGGACCACCTCCTGACCAGATTCATTATCAAGCTCAAATCCATTACTCTCAGGATGGATCACTTGCTGGAGGACCTGTTGAATCACCTCTTGAATCTCCTGGTCGCATTCGTGATCAAACTCACACTCATTATCCTGATGATGATTCCCTTGAGGATCCATTGTTTTACTGGAATGTGGTCCTATAACGATGCCTTTGGTAAAAATCCAGGTGGATATATTATTGCAATGCTCCAAAATTGTGTATGAAGTTGGAGAAGGTTAAACAAACAAATCGGAAGAGGGGGAAATCAAGGAAATGGAAACAACAAGTATAAGTGATAATGACAACCGCAACTGGAACATACCTTCTCATGTACTGGATGATGGAAAGAGCACACATGAGACTTAAGGTTGCTATGATACCTTTCCCCATGAATACCTATGCTATTGAGAAACGAGGACAATGATGGACAAAGAATTGAAGAAGACTGGAAGTCCTTCCCTGGAACAATCCTATGGATTCTCGAATGCTTCCACGACACCAAATCTTGCTACTTAGCAACGTGGAAAGGTTGATGCCTTTTTTTGGGGGGATCGGTTGGTTTTGACGCATGCCGATTCTATGGTTCGCATTTTCTGACATGGAACAATGTCAAGTCCATGCTGAAGTGCCTTTCTCTGACCAAGGTGTTTAATCTGAGAAATTGAGCAATATCAGCAATGTAGATATCAACTTCAGTCTTCAGCCTTTCTTTCAGCTAAGCCTTCTCTTCGTGTGAGGGTATCAGATAGTGTATTGGATGATGCACCTGCTTTTCTGCCTACGCCTTTGAAGGTCCTTGAAGATATCAAGAAAATGACTTGTGGCTGTTTCTTGCCTCTCCAGACGTCTCTGATACTGTTCTTGCCGCTTGTGAATATCGCCTCAACGACGACGTATTGAACAATCTAACTGCTCTCCTACCCACCTCTCAGTATTCTCATGGTCACTCAAGATCGAACATCTTGTGCTCCGGACCCAGGGGAATATGGTTCTAGAATAATCTAGAATGTAGATAGCTCGGAAGGGAATGGATACGGAACGGATATGGAGATATAATAGGTTTATCTTGACAATCAACACGAAGTACATATTGTTCAACCTCGGAGGATATAAGTAGATATTTGATCAAAATCCATCATAATACGATAGAATATCGAGGGCTTCGAATCGGTGAATTTACCCAAAGTCGACCAAATCAAGATGATACGATAAAACCAATCCTTGAGTACTTTGGTCAGTAGTTGAAGTGATACTCTTTAGTCCACCAGTCATACTAGAATAAAATACATTTACTAAGAATTTTGACTTCACTCGAGCTTCACTCTCTTTCTTGACTTTCTCAACCTTCTTATTAACCTTCTTTCCTCTCTTCCCCCTCGTCATCAAAATATGTAGTGCGATCGCCAAGCATTTTTTCTTCACAGCAACCAATCATTGTATGGAAGAACGAGAGACCATCCATCATCTTTTTGGCCTTTGGGTCTTTTTTGGTCCCGGTTCCCGATAGCCCAAAATCAAAACTAAGAAACCAACAACTCCATCCATTCAAAGGAACGAATTGGAAGAAAACAAACAACCAACGGATCCCTTTCCATAACGAAGCCTTTTTGATATTTGATAAATTCAAATTATCTTTCATCATCAATTACTGATTATTGATTAACGTTCCTAGTGCTCCGTTGAGTCCTAGATTCCGAAGGATTTCATTTATAATTCGTCCACGCCCTCTTGTACCATCTACCCACCTTACACACATCCATCGTCTTTAAAGCAAACCTACCGGTCTTTCAGGAAGCTAGAACGCATACGTTCTGGGACGAGCCGCTTCCGTCCCCCCACGGTTCTCTGCTCGATATAACACTTGTAATACATCGAAAGTCGCTCTGGCCAATATACCTAGGCACTTGGGACGGTCTTCTCGATAATCGCAGTGTGAACGGAACGAATCCCCATCTCGACGAAGACCTTAGCTTCAACAAGATCGACTCAGCCTCAACGCTAGGAATTACTTAATCTTCAGTAAAGGTACGTACCAATTCTCATACCCATGGTATTCTTTAACCGCTTCCTTCACTGCTTGAATATACAAAGGTGACTTGCTTCATCCCGCTCAAAAGATCATGCAGCTTTATGAAGGAGAATGTGTAGCCGAACTCATGCTTACAACTAGATAGACAGTTCATCACAGTTCACCACCTTTTCGACACAAAGCCTTCTTCAAAAGTCATACAAATTTGCTGTTACGATTGCATACAACTCGACCTGTCATTAGAACCATACGGCTTGTTTACTTCACCAATACCACCCTACGGTTAGCCATACGAATAACGTACACGATATTTACCCAAGACAATCAAGGCAGTGTTCGGTGATCTATTACAATCCCTCGTCGACACAAGAAGCAAATCTCCTACCTCTTTGGCTCATATTGACAGCTGAACGGCAGCGACATCTCTGAGTCATCCCGAAGTACACGGAGTTAATACTCGATAAAGATCTGCTGGGCTCACATATTTGAACTTGGAACGATGGGAAACCAACCTTCTAAAGGTTCGGGGTCTGCAACCCCGCGCAGAAGTGCATCTCAAACGTCTCTTGATAGAGGGTCGGATAATTTATCGTCTTATCCTTCATTCAGCAAAGCGGATACCAAGGAATCCAACAAATCATTCAGAGGCGCCCTTCGGTCGAAAATACCGGGTTCCAAGGACAGCCCAAGAAACTCGATTGCTGGAATAAGTAGCCTTGTAGACTCAAACGACAAATCCGATGCTGCTTCAATGAAATCGGGAAAAAGCGCTACATCGGGCAGGGCATCATCGGTGCCAGGCTCACCAACTTCACCTCAAGATTCTTCGGAAGATATTCCTTCACCAACCGATGATCTCAAACCTCCCCCATCGCCTGTTCAATCTGCTTCGGTGAAGTCTGGACATCATGATGTCAGCGCTGCACAACGTAGTGGTGAGGTAGATCATGTCTCCGATCAACCGCCTTCCGGTACAGTCAATCCTTACGCAGTTGGAGGCCGCGCTGGGCAATCTATACTGGTCAGGAGAGCAAATGAGATTAATCCTGTTGACACGGCTACCTTGCTAGCTGCTCCAATGAATGGATCCAATGAAACCTCACTCTCAACCTCAAACTCCGCACAAATCTCAATGGGTAGCTTGAAAGACAAAGATCTTGACGACTATATCTCGCGACTCTTGGATGCAGGATATCAGGGTAAAAGCACAAAGGGAGTTTGTCTTAAAAGTGCGGAAATCAACTCAATCTGTCTTCGAGCGAGAGAGATTGTATTAGAGCAACCGCCACTGATTGAATTGGAAGCCCCAGTTAAGATTGTAGGTGATATACATGGGCAATACTCGGACCTCATACGCATGTTCGAAATGTGTGGATTCCCTCCCTCGTCAAACTTCTTATTCTTGGGTGACTATGTCGATCGAGGAAAGCAGTCCCTCGAGACAATTTTGTTGCTCTTGTGCTACAAAATCAAATATCCCGAGAACTTCTTTTTGCTAAGAGGTAATCACGAATGCGCAAACGTTACTAGAGTCTATGGATTCTATGATGAGTGTAAACGAAGAGCTAATGTAAAAGTGTGGAAGACGTTTGTAGATGTCTTTAATTGTGTACGTAACCGCCTTTTGATCTAGTATGTGTGCCTTTTGACTAACTTTGTGACTAGCTACCTATCGCCGCAATTGTCGCAGGGAAAATCTTTTGTGTCCATGGCGGCTTATCTCCCGCGCTTAGCCATATGGATGATATCAGAAATATTGCTCGACCAACAGACGTTCCTGACTATGGATTACTTAACGATCTTTTGTGGTCTGATCCTGCAGATCAGGAAGCAGATTGGGAGCAGAGCGAGAGAGGCGTTAGTTACTCGTTCGGTAAGAAGGTCATTCAGGAGTTTCTGTTAAGACATGATTTTGATTTGGTCTGCCGGGCACATATGGTTGTTGAAGATGGTTACGAATTTTTTGAAGGTCGAGTCCTTGTTACGGTGTTCTCTGCGCCAAATTATTGTGGCGAATTCGACAATTATGGAGCCGTTATGAGTGTTTCGACAGAATTACTTTGCAGCTTTGAACTGTTGAAGCCATTGGACTCCAGCGCGTTGAAGAGCCAGATGAAAAAGAGCCGGAACAAACGAAATAGTATGGTCAACAGTCCTCCGCCGACCGGAACCTTTGCTCCACAGAGCGTATAATGAACTGTCGGATAATTCTCAAACAAATATAGACAAAAAGATTGCCCTGGATGGAAAACCCTATACATTCGAAGAAGAAAACCCAAAACAAGATGCGATGTCAAGAATTACGGAGCATGCCATGATTTACGCGCTTAAAGAGGTCATGCAAGAGTGGCCAAGTACATACAGGACTAAAACGTGACCGAGAAGAGATTTCAGTCACTTTAAAATGTCTAAGAGGTCGAGGCTCGTTTTTCACGGTATGGAGAAGGTCAAGATAGATAGTGGAGGCTGGAGGCTGGAAGCTGCCCGTAGATGTTATATGCACACATTTGATTTATTTTCTTTTCCTGCGGATAGTTTCTTATCCGCGATATCAACAGGCTCTCCCCTTTCTCGAAAGTACGACACGGAAACGGATACATTTTATATTGGCGTTATTTGTTTTGGTACGTCACGGATGGGGGACAGAAGATCACAAACATGAACTCTACTTTTCATTCGCCTCTGTAGAGTACACAATCGCTGTTTATGAACATACAGATGGATAGGTGGGTGATCGACGGCCGTATGTATGCTGGGTTAGTGGTGTATCTGGTATTCATAATATTTGGGGCGGAGGTCAGAGTAGAACTCAGCGGCATCGCTGGAGTTGGGAGTTGTTGGGAGGGGTGAGATGGCATGGAAACATGGTAGCTCTTGAGCATCGTGTTGATTGACTCGACTTACTCATCAATTGATGCAATCGATAGATGACGAAACGATATGAGATTATATGCGTTCTTCAATTTCTGATCTTCATACATGCGTGCTCATTTGATTGATGTGAATAAAAGTTTTGTATCTTTCATTTCTACCTCTGGTTCTGTGTTTTTCTGGACGAAAATCAGAGCAGATCAGGCTCTTCAACGCAAAATTCCAAAATCGTGATCTCGTCTTGTGATTAGGACGTTTAAGTTGAAAGGCCTACCTACTGTAGGTACCTAGGTAGATAAGCATATGTTCTTGGCATGGAAGCTTCCAAATCTCTTCTGTTCTCGTCCAAACTTGTTTTGCCAAGAAAATCTACAAGTTGTTACTGTGGGAAGACTTCCTACGGACTTTGTGAGGAGTTTGATTGCGCAATTTGGGGTTTGACGGTAGTTTTATATTGCTGATATTCATATCCTGGTGTTCATTTGAGATGAGATGAGATGTCCAGGGAAATGGGGTGATGCCTCGTGAGTCCCGATCTATCTGTTCTTGGGGAATGGATGAGTTTGTAGTCCCGAGGAGTAGGTACTCTCGGTACCTACCTATGCTCTACATAGTTGTTAGGATGGGCTGGAAAGGTACTCGCTAAGCGGGAGGTTGGATATGGGGAGGGGACCCAGATTTGGGGGATGAGGAGGTGAGTGAAGTGGTTTGTGAAAGGATTGGGGTAGGTAGTGCAGATTGATGGGATAGAGATTTATTATGTGGAAGTTGTGGAAGACTTGGGATTGTAAAGATGGGTTTGGGAGATGAGATGGTGGAAAAACGGGTTGTGGGATTTTGTTATTGATTTTGTTGTTGATTTTGTTAATTATCTGTAGCGAGGGGATAAAAGGAGAATGAACCAAAGCTTTATGATTCGCGTATTGTCGAGTATTGAAGCTTTCTACCTAGTCTTAGGGATATTTTGTTGGATCTACAGTTCTGGGGAATAAGATTCTGTAGGTCATGCGCTTAGGAAGGTAGCGTGTAGGAAAGGCCATCTGAACAGTCATGGTTTATCTGGGGCTCGGAGAGATTTTAACAATGACGAGATAATAATTGATTAGGAGCAATAAATAATAGAGGTGATATAAACAAAATTCGTGTGTAGCAAAATGAATAATGGGGAGTATAGATAAACTTGGTTATATCAGACTAAAATTTTTGATCAATTAAATCCGGTATAAAAAAAATTCCAATATAAAAAATGGTGGTTCAAGTTTTCTAATCAAAATTTATATCCGATTTCGAGCCGATTTCAACTTCAAACCCCGATATTTTCAAAAAAAATATTATATAATAACAGCTAATTAAGCTTACTCATCCAAAATACAACTTATTTAGTCAAATCTACTACCAAAATTTATACCGAATTTGTAAAAAAAAGTATCCGATATATTGGTTTTGATTGAAATTCCAATATTTATATACAAATTTCAAAAAAATTACTAAAAAAGTCCGGTATATCCAAGATTCTGGTATATCCCAGTCCGGTATAGCCAAGTTTATCTGTAATCGTGTATTCAACCGATATAAACTGTGCATTGCCACACAAGATGGTGTTTTCCATGTGTTACTGACTCTAAGAATACTCGAAATTGTAAAAAAGATTGAGAGTACAGCAAAATAGGAATACCGGTCTAATCTACAGCTGGATGATATCAAGAAGGCATGGCTTTGTAAACTTGCTCTGACTTTTTAATCCTGAAGTCACCGAGAAAGAAGATCGTGACCAATAGTCGACCTCTTCAAACTTCATCCAACATATCAAGGACTTGAGCTTCCTGAGAATTTCCAAGTCTCCCTTCCAATGGCCTTTTACTCAGAATCAGGCTCGGAAGCAATTTCCGAGGCTTGAGTTCAATCTTTACTGGCAGATGGCAATCCCTCTTCGCTCTCAGCCTCCCGAGTTTCAACCAACCCATAAGAAGTGGATGGGGATCTCTGATGAATATAAGGAAACCATGAGAGGAACCTTTCCAGTGCCGATGCAGGAATTGATTTCTCGGATCTTGAGAGCTCACCATCTTCTGTATACTCATTGGAGATTGGAAGGAGCCGGCTAAACGAATTGACGTTCTCTGGAGATGTGTCCTTGAAATAATTGTAGCAGCCAGTTGAGAGTATGACTACCAATCCACCCATTATCTTCCACGCCGTGAAGCCCGATGATCGCAATGCTGGGAATATGACATACTGAGTTGCCGCAATCGTGAGCAGACTGATCGAAGTTCCCACCAATTTCGTAAGATTGTCCCTTTTCCGCAACATGGCGGCAACGATCAAGCCGACTCCAGATGTCAGACATGAAAAATAGATAGCAATCGTTGCGGTAGATGTTACCGAGAGATTCGAATTCGTCCCCCGATCAGTCGTCATCCAAGTAGCGATGGGGTATGAGACGATGGAAAAGAACACTCCCCACAGGTAAAGCCAAAGTTGAGATTCCCAAAAGGACCCAGTCTTGGTAAGAGACTCACTAGCAATGCTAGCGATTGCAGAAAATACCGCTATCACCAATCCTGCCACAGGAGCCACGAGCCAGCCCTTTGTGTCATTGCCCGAGGGAATATTGAAGAGGAAGAGTCCAAAACAGAGGAATCCAAGAGATATCCACGATCGAGCGTTTCCTTGCTTCCTAACCCAGAAATGATGCAGGATCGCCGTCGCTGGAATTTTCGCAAGCATACATACTTGGAGAAGACTCGGCGATGTGGAAGGCAGAATCGTGAAATATATCAGGTTGTTTATGAGGTAAAAGGCCGCTGGAACACCGTATTGCAAAACATCCCTGAAGTCGTTCCTGTTGAACTTTTTTCTTATCGAAGAAAGACCTTCCTCGGAATGATTGATAATTATAGCTGCGATGGCAAGCTTTAGAGTTTCGGAAAGAAGTGCAATCAACGATGGAGTTATCTGAGGAGCCGTGTGAAAGGCAAAATATGCGTAGTTTGCGCGTATGGTTTCTCCAACGATATAGATTGGGAGGAGGTTGTCGGCGAAGGAACTCATGATTCAATGGTATGAGGAGAATTAAATGGAAAGATTGAATACAGAAATGAAAGAACACATCTTCCAGTGGAAAGCCTTGGCTGTCCTTACTTATTATCAGTGTTCTAGAAGCAAGTAAGGGGCACAACAGAAACGGAGAATTTGTCTCATTATTTGTTGTTTTGATCTATTTTCATCAGCTGGCTTTTCCATACCAAATGTGATCGATCGTGCTAGAAAGGTGGAATATGCACAGGATACCTTTATCGGGCAATTGAGGTCGACAACGATTGACACAAGTAATTATTTTCTTCAAGAATATTGACCTATATATACATACATCTCACGATAATGATTATGACGAGAAGGAGGGAATGGATAAAATATGAATGACTATGTGCATATGTGCAATGGGCACATGATAAAAGAAAGATACCAAATATAAAACTTCTCATCTCTAATTCTTACTTGATCAATTGAGTGCTCAACAAGATCCCATGAGATAAATAGATGTTACATTTATCTACCGACTCTAGATCTACATAGCGATCGACGCACAAGTGAGTACAGAGGGGTTATGCTTATGTAAGATATCACCTAACAACTTGTAGCTCCAAAAAATATATGAGGGGCAAAAATGGACACTAGCAATCACAACAACGTGGATTGACATCGCGTCTAATCACCAAGGTATGTACAGAGTATATATTCCCTACTTTCAAGAGCAGAGCCCAAAAAAACATCAGACCCCCAAAAAAACAGAAAATTTGAATTTTGGGGCGTTGCCCGGGATTGAACCGGGGACCTCTTACATGGAGAATTAATCAAGAAGACTAATAAATCCCTAAGCAAGAATTATACCACTAAACCACAACACCTGGTTGATTGGCAGTCCTTATTTAAAGAGCAATATATACTACATTGGTTACCATTCTTACTTGCATATCTCGTAAACAAGCATCTTACATTCTTATCCCATGGTGAATACAGGCATCATTTTATCATGTTTTACTATATTCAGATTCCGAGCTTTTAATTACAAAATTAAGTACTGGAGTTGTTCGTTTCGTTACCTAGGTAGGTAAAGCATTCGTTCTACTCGTGTCAATAGTATGTAAGCATCCATGATATCAATGAATTTACCAGTCGATGTATGAATTAACGAAACACACACTTTTCACTTTCTAATTTTTAACAAGTTCATTCTCCAATGATTTGATCTCAAATTTTACATTTTGATTATTCAATATGTATTGAATAATTGTAATGATTCCTAAGATATACAAATTGATATATTCTAATATATCTATAAGTCAATTTTTTGTAGTGTTTTGTTAGTTCGTACACCCACTACTAACCTAACCACATTTCAACATCATCTAGATTCACCTAATATACCGGATATATTTTCACAATATAATTTGAGATAAGTAAAGAATTTCTAATTATTTTCTACGTCTTTTAACATTGTACCAACCCCAGCGTATGCAGATTGAGCTATCTCGAGCTATCTCAACTCGACCATTTGGGACAGCATCTAACATCGACTGATCTTCTGAACTTCATTCTAGGATAGCATCTACTGGTAGGGTAGTCCAAATGCATACATAATTAGTTGACCTGCAATTGTCATCATTACTGATCAGCAACTGTAAAGGTAAGTGATTTGCCCCGCACTCACTGACGTGTAGGCTTTGTAGGAGAAGATCCATTGGGGGTGACTACAAAACACGGCATGGCATATATTCGACGAGATCGGTGTTATGGGAAGCTATATCTGCTTCTGTTTTTAGCTAAACAAGTATTGTCACAGATGTCAGATGGTGTCACCTTTACCCATCATCTCACGAGATTGTTCCAGCAAGATTGAATCCTTCTCAGCGGGCCAGTGTTTGCAGAAGATGTAAAGAAATTTGAATTGATAATGAAAGCTTAGGAACTATATAAGTGTTGCATAACCAATTTATTAACCGTGAAGCCAGCCTCTTATCACATCATAAACAGAAAGTTTCCCTTCCGTCCTCTTCTTATTTACCCGACACGATCACACCTGGGACCGACCGTCACGGGCACTCTGTAAAAACTGGACCATGAGTAGAGACTCAGTTGATACGTTGTCGTTTCTCCCTAGACCTGCGCGGCTCCAAATAATAATCTATGTCTCTCGATGTACTATCAGACTCCGGTGCCGCTGCTGGTGGATTTAATAGCGAAGAGATTGAAATGGGTTTGGTGTCAAGAGGATGTGCTGCGACAGATGGACCGGCAATGATAGCTTGTGTTGCGATGTCTGGATCTGCTTTAATAATTCTTGGCCCGGCGTATGGGTCAACAGGAGCAGTCCTTGGCTCGGTTGATAGGTTGACAGTGACAGTTCTTGAATCAACGACATCCCATTTAAAAGGGCCAAGCGCGGCATTTAGAATTTGGTTGGCTACAAAGTCTGCCTCGAGCTGGTTTTATAGCTCCATGATGCCTTCATTCTTCAAATGGGCGATTGCTTCATCGAATTCTACACCTTTTAGAGAGTTTGGATTCTCCCACCTACATTATTAATATGCTGATCTTAAGGGGAAAAAGGATATCGACTTACATATCGTCTGGTATCTGTGGGATCAAGAATAGGGCGCCTTTATCAAGAGCCTTACATATTTTATCGTATCTCGATCCAGCAGTAACCCAAATTTGTAGGTTCGCTTTGATGACGTCCACCTCATCAGTGATTTTGTCGCATCTTGTGAATGCTGTGATCAGCCGTTGATGTAGAATGCTATGCAATTTATATGACATTACTTTCTGCCCATGACTAAACAACGACGCTAGCTGGTACAAGAAGCTAACGTGGAACCTTCGAAAGATGATGTCTTGCGCCTGTCGCAGGCGCGAATTGCGAACTACAAGGTATGACTCAATAGCGATATCTTCAGCTGACCGATTGGCATTCGAAATCTCAAAGGGCTGCCAAAAACGGTAGGGATTCTCCTTCCATATTTGATAGTGATTTTGTACACTAGGCGGTAGAGAAAAGTTGCGAGTAATGACGAGTGCCAGCGCTGGACATTTAGCCCTCTTTCTGGTGTTGTTGGTCTTACGTAACATTTCCTGCGCAGCCCTTTTGTATTTTGTAGGTAGAGATGTGAGAATATCGCAGAGAAAGCTTGTAAACTGTAAACAAAGTTATATCTATCTCTCCTGACAAAATGTAGAAAACGGCATCACTTACCTCTTCCTGATCTAACAAAAATTCTACGGTATGTTCTACATCGTAAACTTTCAGCTTTTGAATAATACTACCGACGGTATGCTTATCATGCGACATGCTGAAACGAGGAGGGAACTTTATCAGTGCCACAAGACTCTAGGGAATCGATCGTCTGGAAAGCGTATGGAGAGATCAGGGGGCTGCGATAAAAGAAACCTGGAGAAATTAAATTGAAAGAGCCGTTTGGATGTTTCAGCTAAAGGATATGTAGAGGAAGCTAGAATAATGGTTCAGTTCTCTAATGAAGAATTAACTGCAGAGATCAGAAGAACTTATAATTTATAAGAAAATAATCATGAGCTGAAAACGGGATTGGCTAATCTTCCGAGCTTTTGCGCTTAGCTATATTCACCCAGTGTCCCAAGTAGTTTGCGAAAAGGGTTTAGCGACAGTGACAACGCACTTTTCAGGGCCTTGTTAGTAGTAAATTGTTTTCGCTTAAGATACCAGATGAGTTACAAAAGGAGGTTATCGCATGGGCTTCATGCGTAATTTCTCTTTCAGCTCCTAGGTCACCAAATTATGTTCATTTCCAATCCTAGACGTCTATGAAAAGAATTCGTAGGGGATTTAGGACAGGCTCGAGACAGGACCACAGCAGTTCACATTTCCTGGTATGTATTATTAACGAATCAACCTGATTGGTTCCGGTAAAGGGAAATTAGCGCCCGAATTTTCCATCGCTTTTAATTCCTCTAGCTGCATTGGTTTTATGTGCTCGCCTCGTTCGTGGTATATGGTAGGAATCAATCTTGGACCTATTTGTCATTGCGTACCAGGTGTCAATGGTTATCTGTGATGTGTAATGATGATATCAAGCTGTTATATTCAAATGACCGATATTCATTCATTTATATATGGTGAGATAAGTTGTCCTTAGCGAAAGAACGAGCTTGATAAACTTCGATTGATGCATGGTAGCCTGATTCATAACTGACTTAAGAATGAAATGCCACGTTCCCTTTCTGTACTTTTCTTTCTCCAACATAATACTTATTTTTATACTTGGAAATAATCATCGGAATATTGACCGCCATTTTCGACAACGACCAATCAACAGAGACCTCAAGCAATAGCCCAAATTCAAACCTAGTTTCTTATGGGCGAAGTCGAATAGTATTAATTGTTACTATGAGTATATCTTGATACGGAGAGCCAAATTATTTTTGAAAATTTGAGACCAGAGGTGCGCAGAGAGAACAAGTATACCTAACGCCAGCGAAGAGGGGCGAAAATGCTGGGGCGGGTGTAGATGGACATGTCGTTGTAAGCAAGTAAACGACATTGACAATGTGGGGCTAACAAATAAGATCGAGATGGAAAGATGAGAGGATGGAATGGGCAGATGAGATAGCAGATAGCGGAGGCTGGCTGCAGGTCAGAGGAAATCATAATTGCTTATAGGCAAGTTTGAATCTTTTCTTGGATCACAAAGGTGAACAGCTAGGTCATACACTCTCAAAGAAATTGGGGGTAACAGTACGCATTGCAATATCACTCTTTCATGAGGCAATACGCCCCCTTTGAGGTGAGATTCGCTTCCGATAAGTCATGATCCGCCATCTATAACTTCCTCTCGCACGATGCAGACTGATGTAAACGCATTCATGGCAACACACTTGCGTGACTGCTAATGCTCCAGGCGTGTTGGACAGAAGTACAGTTCTAACTGGAGCTAGTATACTTATAAAAGCGAAGAATTAACTGCATCTCAATCTTTCAACGGTATCAAGTAGTATCTCAAAAGTATCTTTGAGCATGTTCTTGATCGTTCACTTCGTAGACTAGTGCTGAGTGGATCAAGGTACGATGAGAGACGCTCAGCGATCGACGAGATGTAACAATGGGGCATCATCAAATTTGATGGGTGCAGTGGAGAACGGACGAAGCGGTTTGAAATGGTAAGGCTTGGAAGGAAAAGAGAGGGCGAGTTTGTTCTTCTCGGAGCAAAAGGATTAAATAACGTCCGAAGCTATGTTTTTCAACATGATCGTCCGCAAGTTTGTGTTTGTGATGGGCATCTAAGACCGCATGCTTCAATTGCACGCAAGATTGCGAGATAACACCAAATCCAATAACTGTTAAGGTAATTGTTGGAATCTATAACGATCAGAAGGTCGTCGTGGGAGAATGATGTCCATCTTGGAATTGAAGCCAACGCGTGATGGAGATATTTCAAAGGGTTGTTTGTATGCATGCCCCAAACGGTTTATGGTCAATGGTTGAACTTTCCATAAATTGATTGGCTGTCGTCTTCATCTCGAATAATGAGGGAAGTACATAGTCGGCATCGAAATAAGTCATGTAAGCAAGAACAATACGATGTCTTGTAGACAGACATATTGTTCAAAACACAAGATACTTTCTTTCCCCGCCAAAGAAGGCCTAGTGCGTTGAAGTGGCTCAGTGGGGGGTGACTTTTGAAAGTGGGGCACAATAGCTCTCACTCTCATTTTTCTACGACACAGGAAGGAGAGAGACGGAATAATTATATCGTACTCTGCACCTGCCTAGTTGGGTAGGGAGGTAATTAATCGCATATAATACAAATTGTACCAATTATTCGTGCACCTTATTGTTTTGTTCCTTCGATTCTATGACACAAGTGTAATTTAATATCATCAATCACGTCAAAATAGAAAACGGGCCAAATATGTATAATCTAGATCGATGACAAACGGACCGACCATTAGCATTTTGGCTCTCCGGCTAAAATGAAATGGTTAGCGCCATTGAAATCTCTTTCCTCTGTCGTGATTTGTGCCGTGGACTAAATTGAACATCGTAGTGGATATTCTCGGGAATATAAAGGCGGCACAGTACGGTGTACTAAATGACTGGCTAGGTATCGTACAGTGTGACTAGTATCACTTCCATCTTCACTTGTTTCCTTCTTCCCAAACCCATCCAGAGGTAATATTTAGTCAAGTACGTACTAGATAACCAGTGACAACATGGTTCACAATGGGGAAGACAACAAGAGTGTCATAATTGAGGCACGAGATGATGCTCAATTGGTCAGTATTCGCTTTATACTTCAATCAATCTCGATGATGGATGACATTCAAACTAATCTTATCTACTCGATCAGGAAACTCTTGGCTACAAACCCGTCAGTCAATTTTTTTATCCAAAATACAACGACTCAAAGACTCACAAAAATGATATAGGTGTTACACCGAACGTACACTCTCTTTGAGAACTTCTCAACATCCTTCGCTGCCCTGTACTTTGTTGGAGGTGTAAGAGTTACTTACACCACTGGAATCGCCTCCGGAGGTCCTTTAGCTTATTGGTTAGTTGCGCACCTGAAGTCTAGAACTTTTCACATGACTTCTAATACAATACTTTTGACTGTATAGGACGAGTTATCTTGTAACGTGCTTTTTTACCTTCATAACTGCAGCCGTCATAGCAGAAGTCTGTTCTGCGTCACCTTCAGCTGGTTCCATCTATCTTTGGGCAGCTGAAGCTGGAGGAGCCAAGTATGGTCGACTTTTAGGATTTGTTGTTGCCTGGTGGAGTACAACTGCTTGGATGACCTTTTGTGCAAGTAAGCTCAACTCGGATTCATTATTCCCCAAAATTTATTCTAATTACTTGCAGGCAATACCCAAGGAGCTGTCAATTACATGCTTTCGGTAAGTTAACGTTCACGTGATATTCCCACAGCTCTACGCGCGAGTTCTAAACGTCATTCATTGCTGGATGTTGTCTGATATCTATTAGGAAATCGTTGTCTTCAACGTTGATTTTCCAACGGATACCAGTGATATCAAGTTCCGAGCAGTCCAATGGATTTGTACTGAGGTTCTCCTTGCACTAGCCGCAATCGTGAATTTTCTACCACGTGAGTTGTCACACTTAATCGGAACAATTATTGAATATTGACATATGAATCAGCTCGTCTTTTTAAGTATGTCTTCTGGGTATCGAGCTTTTTAGTCATGCTTGATTTCCTTCTTAACCTCATCTGGTTACCAATAGGAGCTGCCCGAACCATCGGTTTCCGAACCGCAGAGGAGGCGTTTATGACAACTTACAATGGAACCGGTGCACCTGCTGGATGGAATTGGTGTTTGTCTTATCTCGCTACTGCTGGTATCCTCATTGGATTTGACGCTTCTGGACACGTTGCGGAAGAAACCAAAAACGCTTCGATCACAGCCGCCAGAGGCATATTCTGGAGTGTGATTGTAAGTGGAGTAGGAGGGTTTGCCACCATCATTCTATTTCTGTTCTGCACACCTGATCCAGATACTCTGTTCTCTTACGGCTCGCCTCAACCATTCGTACCTCTCTATGCCGTTGTCTTAGGACAAGGTGGACACGTCTTCATGAACATCATTGCAGTGGTTGCACTTTGGTTCAATACCGCAATTGCTATTGTCGCTGCATCTCGACTTGTCTTCGCAGTGGCTCGTGATGGTGTTCTTCCATTCTCGGGTTGGGTATCACGCGTTTCATCTGAAGGTCAACCCCGAAACGCTGTCCTTGTAATTTGGGGTTGTGCCTCGCTTGTGACTTGCACCATCTTACCTTCTGCAGTCGCATTCACATCCCTCATATCCGCTGCTGGTGTTCCATCGGCAGCCGCATATGGACTTATTGCTTTTGGAAGATTTTTCTTGACACCAAATACATTTCCCAAGCCAAGATGGAGTTTAGGTAGATGGAGTAGACCATTTCAATTCATCTCAATCTTTTGGAATGGTTGGGTTGTGGCAATCCTTTTCAGTCCTTATGAATTCCCTGTCACTGCAGCTACATTGAATTGTAAGTAACCCTCGACCATTTCTACAACTGCTCATCCCTCCGCCATATACTGATACAACACAGATGCGCCAATAATCATGGCAGGTGTAACAATCCTAGCGCTGATTTCCTGGTGGTTTACACCCGTTGGAGCATGGCTTCCCCGAGAACGCATATCACATTTCGTGGAAAGTGAAGGAGCGCCTGCGGAAGGTCTCCGACAAGAACCGGATGAACAGCTTCAGGTGCCTGAGGTAGAAGGGGATGCGGTCCCAGCTACCTATTCTGAGAAGTGAGATACTCGATGATCGCTTTGACTTTTTCTTTTGAAGAATTAAGATACTGATCTTCTTTCTGTGTATTAAAGTGGAGGGCTTTTAGATGGGACCGCGCAGGAACAAAGAGATCCATGAACACGTTGATGCGAGAGTAAATAGATTTGAAAGAACGGCAATCGTTGCAGCATATATTTGAGAATGGCTTCATACACATAGAATAATAATACCTAGATCTTTCGATGCCAAATCAGCCATGGATTTTATGAGATCACTGGCCTTCAAATGATCAAGATTGCAATTCGCAATGTGCAATTATTAGCTTTTGAGTAGCTGATGCGATGTGGTACACTGGGCTTTTATGAAGTAACAACTCGTCTTGCCGCATCGGGTTTTTACTCTTTATATTGCCTGTTGTAATTGGCAACCGCTACCTAGGTTGTGGCTGGACCCCAACGTTCTTTCTCAACTTGTCCAAACATCTCTACCCCAAAGAATGAACCAAGCCTTCCTCACAGCCCACTGCACTTCTCCAATGCACATCCAATCCTACGCCTGTGTGGAAACAGCAGGACCTGTCCACTCCAATTCCCAAGGTTTGACACCAATACGCACACCATTCTCATCAACATTGACGCATCGAGAGCACTTCTTATGTTCGCATTCGCTATTGACTATGAGAATTTTCTGCTCCTTTCCCCGAACGACACCGATCTTCTGTTCTTCTCTTGTGCAGGTGGGCGCATGAGATGTATGCTGACACTATACATATATTTTAGTTTGTGTAGATCGCAAGGAAATGGGAAATGTAACGGCAAAATGTGTAAAAAGGAGAAAGGGACACTAACCTGGCAACAGCGGAAGAAAGAAGCAGTTGTGGATTTGTCATCGACGACTTCAGTCTGGGCGCTTGAATCTTCTGAGGATGGTTCGGCAGACTGTTGCAGGATGTCGGATGCGCCATCGAGGAGAATGCTGGTTTCAATGTGGGATTGTCTCTTCTCGGATGCGCGGGCAAATAATCTGGACTCGGAAGCTTCGTCGTTGGGCTTTGATTGCGTTAGCTATGTCTTTTGGAAAGGGTGGAAAGAGGAGGGATCGCGTGATGTCTCCTTCCTTCTCTCTTAGGCACTCAAAGTAGATCGATAGAGATTTAAAGGCATATTGACAATGAGAAGAAAATCCTAGATTAGAGTAAGGATAGAAGATAACATACCATGCTATTGAGTAAATTCAAGATGGAAGGATTGAAAGAACTGGTGGGATTATTGCTTTCGTAGAGAATCGCTCGATTGCGCATGATGATTGCCGTTACGCTATTCTCAGCAGAGACACCAGTCGCATTGCGAACGGCGGGGGCAGAAAATGATGACATGTTGGCAGATTAATTATTGGGAAGTACAGTAATGACAATAAATGGCATCAAAGAATCCTTTTCCAGGGATTAATTGATGGGAGAGTGATTCTTTAAAAACAACTTGTGTTGGAAAGATGGTGCTTGTGTTTTGAAGAAAGGGGATTTTCGGCTCGGGTTCCTGCTCTTTTATTGGCTGGAATTTTGCTGGGGAAGCTTCAACTGTGTTGTTTTATTGCAGTGGTTTTTTTGATCTGCTCTTGGCTATATTGTTGAACTGGTACAGTAATAAACAGGTTAACTGATGATCTCAACAATTCACTGCTTGAATTGAAGGCCTGGTGATTAAAATTATTGATGGCTTTGCAGTCAAAATAGTGGCTATACAAAGGTGTGATTTCTACTATTTATATGGTTTGAAGAGAGGGTCTGGCCTGTAGTATGAGAATCTTCTAACGACTCCAGAAACTAGACACTATCATCTCATTTCCACTTGTCGAATCTTTGGTGAGAGTCTTTTAGAAGCAGGAATAAGACAATTAAGTAGCTGACATATTCGACAAGATGTCTTAGTTCACCATGTTTCTTATTCAATTCGTTTCCTATATTTCAATGGGAGAAATTAATAGCACTGAGGTATTGAATCAGATTTCAGAAATCACAGTATTTTGTCCCAAATCTTATTTTTTTTTCTCCCATTAGGAACTGATAGCTATCACATAGCTATCACACCCCTGTATTACCTTACAAGGTGAGAGGCTATTTCGCAGTTTGAACAGCATGCTCCTCAAAGAACTTCTAACTTCTATTCAAAAGCGAGCTTAAACAATCTACAGGTATTTACTGTTATTTCTCGATATTTTGTAGTGGCAAATGGACATCACAGTTACTTAAGGTGAGGTCTACAAGGTAAATATTCATAATATCACATCTGGACTTTTATGACGGGAATGGAGTACGTATAAAGATGATGATTGTATTATTAATAGCAACGATCTCTGGTTTTATTTGAGACTCATGTAAAGTGTGAATATTGTCACGGGGATCCATGTGACATTTGCAACAACACCAAACCACACCAAGTTTTTCAAAAAAGGATTGATGAAAGATTCAAGAGAGAACGATGTTTAAAGATAGAGGCAAAGAGTGCACTGCAAAGTCAAGAGCATGAAGACCAAAACAACTTATTCATGATTGCGAATACAAGGCAAACGCATCTTCTATGATAGCACAAAAAGAAGCTTCATTCTGAATGGAAAGCATGTTCCATTCACCACCAGTCCAACATCCATCCAATACCCTTCCAACACCCGTCCACATCCTTCTTATTGACTTTGCCATTGAGAAGATTCAGAAGCCCTGATTTGGTCTCTCAATGGGCACTCCGAGTCAACTCCCATCTCCTGTCTTCCCTTCATGTACCTGGATTGCTACCATTGCTGGCTTCTTTGGCCTGTTTGTTGAAAATGATGATGCTTTTTGTTTGTGCATCTAACCATTTTGCTTCTGCCTTTATTTTCCGGGTTTCTGCATTGATTTTTCTGATCGATGCTCTCTTCCTCTGAAGTTGAAGGTCAAGAAGTTTGTCGAAATGTTGCTTCTGTGCTGGCATCTTAGACATCATAAATAATATGCGATGCAGTACTCGTGATTCGAAGTTAGGTTCTTGTTGAAGTGATGGTGTAATGAAGTAACTGATGTGAATTGTGGTACTGAGTTGAACCCATTTTTGACACTCATGAACAGGATAATATATAATAAGTATATGTCTTTGTGAGTTATGGTCTGAAACGCCTACGGCACAATAGGATTGTAGTAGAACTTGACAGTATCTCCCAGCAACAAGACATCAAACAATGAAAGAAAGTTCTGCAACTATACCAAGAAACGTTCCGATTCAATGTAATTCCTGCAAAACACCATGCGTGAGCTACTATAATGTCAAAGAACTTGGTAAAAAAAATCAAATTCTGCAATAATGCCCAATTTCTTCGAAGGTCTAGAAACATCTATAGAGCTGTATCTCAAGTAAGGAGGTGCAAGTAACCTCTTTGGGTGTCAATTTACAAGCTCACAATACATTTGTACTAAATAATGGAGACTTCGAGATCTTTGGGGCGAGTCTCTGTGTCCAGTTAGATCTGGATATTTATGTTATGACATCTCACAAAGCCTCGGGAAAGCCACAGTCCATTCTCACTAAGCATAGCTATGTCCATTGAACGAAAGAGAATTGAACGAAAGAGAAGCAGTCAGAAAAAAGACCGCAAGTTTATCGAATTTCCAAACCTTATACATTTCGTGGAGAAATCCAAGTCCACATTCCCCTACTTCCCAACTCTCCGCTCTGAGCTCTCCTATGTCTTCTCCGTAATATATGTAGTAACACTCTCATGCTGACCATGGGAGATAAAAAAGTTATGAGATACGTGTACCGTAATGATTTTAGCTTCATTTGACCTCTCAGTAATGGTGTTCGTCTCGCACTAGAGTTCGCTTAGCCAAGCAGCTTAGGGAGTCCGCCATCCCTAGCTTCATCCACACTTTGAACGTATTCAATTATCGACACTAAGTTTACTTCAAAATCTGCGTCATTCATATCTTACGGCACGGATATAAATTCTCATACAGCTCGGGTCACTCACATTCAATATATCACCATTTTTTCCCCCCATAACGACGCTGTACCGAAGCAGAAAATCCCGTACATCTCGAAATATTCTCTTCTGTAATTTTTAATAAAATTAGATATATTTTCATAATCATCCTCATCTATCAAGACTGAAACTCTCAAAACATCAAGTACAAATAAAACCTCTCCAATGTATCATTCACAGAGAACTCTCAGGCTCAATTCGAAGATGGCGCCTGGACCGAGTCCCTTGTCTGCCTCATTCTCGGACTCGGAAGGCGACCACCCGCAGCGTCAGAAACGTGAAGATCTTTCTCCAGAGCTCATAAAAAGTCTCAAGCAAGCTTGTCGAAATCTCGAGAGACGTATGATTGAGGAAGAAGAGAAGAGAATGTGGGCAGCGGTTACAGTAGGAAAGTCGATTAAGGCGACGAAGCGATGGAAAGGAAGAAGTCCTGCAGGAAGCGGGAGCTCAGAGAATCGAAGGAAAAATTGAGAGAGGGACTTTTATTCACTTATTCTTGCAATATGGATGATACAGTTGGCATTTTGTAGTAATTTGGGTGCCGGTATTCTATGCTATTAGACTATACACAGGAAGGTGAAGTGTTTGGAAAGTTATTAAAGATGGAGAATATTGTACCATTTCAACATTCAATGAAATTCAATATATCATCAATTTTTTACCCGATCGATTCAAGATATAAAATTTACTTGTTCTTGAAGATATCAAGTGACTGTCATGAAACGGACAATGAGAATTTTTAATTTAGTTTAGATTATTGAACGTGCTATTTACCAATGACACATGAATCCGTCTCTCATTAAATGTTAGGCTTAAGCTAGTAGGTTAGTTGATTTTCTATCCAAACTAAGCATATCCATATAAATCTTTTCAGTTTTCCCCCCTCTCGTAATTATCATCGAAAACATCAACTATCCGCCCCTTCAAATCTCATTATAAGAACATATAGCTACTCTACAGTTGTCTTAATATCTTAAAATATCTTATTATATCACAATTATCTAGCTGTGTTGGCACCTATTACTGCATCGTGGGAAACAAACGTCTACAAAATGACTTCGCATCTCAAAGATTTAAACATTCTTCAAACAGGAAGCTGCAAAAGTTCAGAAGCTCATTGCCAGTCATGCTGGGAAGATAAAGTCATCCACACACTTCAACAGAATTTTGGGTTTCCTTCTAAAGTGGCATCACAACCACCACAATGCAGTTGCGAATTCTTTCGAGCTGGTAGCCCCGATGCTTCTAGAGACTGCATAATCGTATCCATGGACCTCGAGATAAGTAAAGAGCAAACCCAACTCAACGAAATCGGCATCTGTACGCTAGATACCAGAGACCTTCAAAATTTTAAGCAAAAACCGACGCCTGACACGAATAAACTCCTATCGACATACAGCTTTGGACTCCATCATTACAAAACAATCAGCAAAAGATTCCGATATGGCGAGGCAGAATACATGGAAGAACATAAAGTCAAGGATTTGCTTCATCGGGTCTTACGAACTGGAAGCCCTTTCCCTCAGTCAACGGAGACCCGTCAAGTGATCCTGATAGCCAATGGGATTTTCCATGATTTGTTCAATTTGAGAAAGATGGGATTGATGCCGGATCTCAGTGAGTTCCCAAACATCATGGTAGTTGATACATGCGATCTTTTTAGGCGTCTTGTCAAGGAAGAGATGAGAGCACGTCTCTGGGTGATTCTAAAATTCTTCCACATCCCATATTGTTATGATTCTCTTCATCATGGTGGCAATGACGCAAACTTGACTCTAAAAGCTCTCATCATGCTCACTATAGAGAGCTGCAAGAACTTTAGTTGGAGTCCGGAGCAAAACCAGAACAGGGTATTGTTGTTGCTCGTTGCTCGTGAGGCAGCGCCCCTTGCCGAATGGCAGCTGCGAAAAACGACGAAGGAAGCAACGATCGCCAAAAAGAAAGCGTTCCGAGAAATGAGGTTCAATCTATGGGCGGATAATGGCGATAAAGACGATGCCTGTTTTGGATTCCTCCTTGAACTCCAGTAAATAACGTGCCCGTTTGTGTTTGTGCTATTTGATGCATATATACAGCATGTTGTATTATGTATCAAACAGGTTCTTGTATCTTTGTATACTGATGCGGGGGATTGCTTGTCTCTGACCTTTAGCGATGGAGGAAGGTACGAGGAGTTGGCTTGCCAGATCTGGACATGCCTTCAAAAGAAAGTAGACTTCAGTTGTTCAGCCAGAGCTCTAACTGTGATCTCTTTCTGTGAAGATCAAAAACATGACTTCTTAGATGATTCACGCAATGGAGAAAGAAAGCTGATCTGGTTCGCCATGAAACGTTCAAGGTTGCCAATGAAAGGCAAAAGAAACATTACTGGAGGACAACGACTCACCGATCATCTTACCAGATTTCGCTTGAAGACAGTATATTATTCGGATTCTTATAATGAGAGCCTCAAAAACAAGCTACAGTCTCAACTTCCGAAGGTAATCTCGCATGAACATGGCTGTTGATTTATGTGTTTCCTTATGTGACCAAAATAAGCAGGCGCTCATAAGGATGTATGAGACGAAAATCTGCTAGATTTGTGGATTCAAAATTAGTAAGATTATCAGTGGCTGAGGGTGTGTTGCTTGAAGAAGGAACGAGGTGCTCGATACTCAATGGATATGCCGAGCCACCATCAGCCCCAATAAAATAATCAAGAGCAGTGCTTGGAATAATCAAGAAGAGACTTTTAAATATAATCAGAAAATAGAAGAATTAAAAAAATAAGAACGGTACTGCCGGGAATTGCACCCGGAACCCCGAAGGGAGAACAGTGCGAGCTGAACCACAGATAACTAATTTTGCATTAGTACCCGTGTTCTTGATATGTTTGCTATGTTTGATGATATCGAGAAGAACTTTGAAAGATATATGATAGAAGGTCCTACAGGTAGCTTCCTGAATTATCGGTGGCGTGGTGTGTGAGGTGATTGAGTGGGAGGAAGGAACGAAGACATAACTGACCCAGGCTATTGGAATTCCGACTGCCGACAATGATCAAAGAGTGGCCTTAATGATGCGAGCATATGGCAAGCAAATCGAATCTACTGATATACCGGAGCTGAACGCTTTCAAGTATATAGGGAAGCTCATACCAATTATAGTATTATGGACTTGGTTACTTATTCATTACCACAGATGAAACATATATGCTGCAAACGTACGGCATGAGTAAAAGTCTGTGACACGTCCGCTCCGAGAGAGAAGCATTGCAGTCTCTAGGAGCTCTGTTTCTAGGCTGTGAGATCCAGACTTGAATAATACTAGACTCGGGGCATGTTCGACTAATTGATCGACCGTTTGAAAATCCGCTTGTTCGACGATTTTATCACTGACGAGACTTGCACATCCTTACACCGGGAGTTTTGATTCTTGGCCAAAATTGGTGTCAACTCTAAAGTGCATTTAAAGAGACAACACCCGACCCAGAGACGGCAATTAAGGACATCGGCTGAACTAGTTGGAATAACATAATTTTCGGTCTGCAAATACGATCATCGCCTCAACGATGCTATCGAACATTGTCTTGTATTTGATGGTGCAAAAAGTCATGAAGATTTGCCGCGTGAATGGTAGCACTGCTTATGTAATCGACCGACTGTCATCACCACATCTTTCTGAAAGCACTCTAAGCCATTCAGATGTGACGTCACAAGCCCGTGAGAGGAGTACACTTTGGTATCAAATATCGGACCAGTCCCTTATGAACCCATCACTGATGTTCCAATTATGATAGTCTTAAAAGCAGCTTACTTCCAAGTACACAAAAAGTTGTTCTTCTCGTCGGCGAAACCCAAGTTTTTCTCGAAATATAGAGTAATCATCTAGCGAGACGTAATGCTCATAATCGAGATCCGCAGAGCTCACGAGTAGCACCAGGAACCATGCGATTCTTGCTAATAATAGCACGGAATCTATTGATGTTGCAGGTATTTGCTTATTCAGCTCCCTGTATTCTTTCGGTTTTGACCTAGTATCATGCCTAAAGACTTGAACTTTTGTTGGACTACTTAGAGATAGGAGCTGCATCATAGCAAAAGGTATGCTATGTGTAGAATCGTTGAGGAAAACGAGTCTTAGCATTAACTGAATAGAGGAACGTGGTTGCGAGAGCGAGCTATATGTACGGCTATAAGTCACTCTGATGCAATGGATATCAAATAGTGAGACGCTAGAACTGTTAGAAAGATTTACTAATGAGATCCAGGTGGGCAGGAGGAAGACAAGTGGCTGATTTCTCTTATATCTGTTCCGGTATCTAGTACTCTAGTAAGCTCTAAGGAATGTGTGATGGCGAATCTCAGTCGAAGGGTTTCCTCTCGCTCCCTATTGACTTCCCAAGCGATCATGCGTATAAGTGAGGATCATTCGTTACACCAGTATTCAAATGATATCGATGCAAACCACATTCCACTGAGAAACATGAAACATGAAACACAATAATAAGCTTACCTGTTCACTGCAGTACATGTTCGGAACTATGCGAAGTGGCCTGCGGAACCTTCATCACGTCTCTACAACGCTTCCATGGACTCGATAGTAACTAGATCTTAAAAGAGTAGGTTGTGAGAGTAGCTGGACGTGCGTTCGTGTATTGAACTGATTCCTGCTCTAACTCGAAGAGCTGGGTGACTCTCGCGATTGAGAAACCAAATTTGAGTGTATAAATCTTGCTTGTTACCGAGTCTAAGTTACCCTGATATGTACGTATGTGTAGTTGTAAGACTTGAGAAAAGAGACAAATGATATGTGAGTATATGAAGCTGGGGTTTCACATCTTGAAGCCCCATAAGAGCAAGGGGACATATATTTTTAGCAGCCCTTGTTGCGATGTGGTCCTTTCTTAACAGATATCAATTTATACTTACGCTTATTGTTCCTTCGCGTCTGATCCGTCAAGACACATGCCTGCCGATGATTGACAAGAGCCTAGTGATCGGCGGAACGATGAACAAGGGTCGTCACTGGAAGCACAAGGCAGGCTCGCACACGTATGACACCAGGCATGCATATGCACATATATAAAGAGCGCGTGTAACTCGAACTAGTTCCATCTACCGAACTCGGGACATGCGTATTGTATGCCATCCGAAATGGATGGATATCGAGCGACCTCTCTTGTGAACGACAGTAGTCCAGATCCTATCCGAATATATGTTCTATCCTACTGCTGCTTACTTGGAGATAACCAGTGAATTTTCGAGCATCTCGCGTTGGAATTCTCTGTTCGATTGCCAATGGATGTCAGCAACAACAGCACGGCTCGTATATGGATTCAGGCTGATTTGTCAGATGAAAATTTATATGCTTAATTTTAGACGTTTCCTTAGTGAATTTCCTACGCCAGCTGTCTGTTGCAACAATTGCGACCGAGTGATTATACATAGGTACAACTAGTATACCTACTCACGGAGTATATAAGTGAAGAGGTCTCATGGCTGACATTCCAAGTATTAAACGCACAAATCTGCAAAGTTGTTGGAGTCGGATAAGTATGTAGTATCTGTGCAATGTGATCTTATGCTTGTTTTACCGAATTGTATCGAAGGGGCGAGGGGGGAAGATTTGTGATGCTCAGGCGTTTTTATCGCTACGAGCCTTACCACATTCCAGGGTTCCTAGCGTGTAACCTTATTCACAAATGCTCCAAGCATCTACCACCTCCCAAGCCTTCCCAAGCCATCACATTCATTTCAAGAGTTCATGATATTGTAATCATTTGCGGATATATCAATACAATCGAAGGAATATCTCTTATTGAAGATATTAAATACTGTTTGATAGTATAGCTCTTACTTGATAAAGCTCTTGGCGCATCGATCTCCTTTGAACATCCAAGATGGATTATTCATATTACACTCCGAATGCTCAGCCGTTCTTCCCTCTTCTTCCTCCTACTCCGACTCACACAAACGCATCGACTACCGATGAATTCAGCAACTCTCCACCTGTATTTGTCTCATCTCCTGTGAGCAGAATGTTCCTGCTAACAGCAAACAGCAGGATGTCTTCGATCAATTCCAACCCTATGATTATGCCAATCATTACGACTCACGCATTCCTAAAGTCACAACCCCGCTTTCACAGCACAAACCATCGATTTCCCATCCCATGTACACCGACATGCCTACCGATGTAATCGACGATGCGATGCGACGAGATAGCGACGAGGAGGAGAATTTGACTCCGGCACAATCCCGGCGCAAAGCCCAAAATCGCCAAGCGTAAGATCATTTCTTTGAACTCACTCGTTTTGAAGCTCTACTTCATACCCATAGTATGCTAAGACCTGAGGAATTAGACAACGGGCCTTCCGCGAACGCAAAGAGCGACATGTAAAAGAGTTAGAAGCCAAACTTGCAGAGTTCGAAAAAAGTACCGGAGATCTGGCCCAAGAAAACGAGCGCTTGAAGCTACAGCTCACAAAAGCTGCGACGGAAAATGAAATATTGAAAGCGACGTCCAGCCATTCGAACCATGGAGGCTCTCAACCTCTATCAAATGTAGGGCCCATGAAATATACTCCTACGGACTTTTACAGTGAGGTTCTACATGCGCACGACAATAAATTTCCCAGCCATCGAATTGTAACGAGTGATAAAGGGGAAAGGTTGTTGGCGGCGGGTGCGACGTGGGACTATATCATCAAACATCCGCTGTACAAGCAAGGTCTGGTGGATGTAGGAAGTGTTAGTGAAAGGCTGAAGAACGCTGCGAAATGCGATGGGCAAGGACCAGTTTTCGAGGAGAGCGCAATACTGGATGCAATCGAGAACAGTGTCGCAAGTGGCAGTGATGAGTTACTATGATTTATGAGATGGCTTGGAAGAATTTCAAAGGTGTTAAGGTTGATTGTTGGACATATGGGACGAGGGAGACTGCTCAAGACGAGTGAAGTACACCAAGGAGTTCATAGTTGCGTTCTGCTTTGGAGTTTTGGGTGGTAGTGTGTATTTATGAAATAATTAGAGCGTTTAGTGAACGCTATTCAATTTATCTCTCATTCATGAAGTCGTTTCCTTCTTGGTGTTTCTTGGATATTCACATTCAAATCTTCAAAAAGTTCTTTGAATGTCTAGTTTGCATAACAGATTGACTGATAAACGACTGAATTTTAGCTACTTTATTCTTGTCACATGAAAGTCTCCATTCCATGTAAGCCAGATCCACGGAATAATGATTTATGACATGCCCTAAACCTTCATAAAGTTTCCATAATTTACATTCATTTTATGGCAATACAAAATTCATAAAATCCCATTACTCACCATTGAACTGATTCTTTATGATTGATCAGCAATGGGATTCAGTAAAAAGTGATTAAGCGAGTTCATTAAGAAAACTACTAGGTAGCATTCTGTTTAAAGTATTGCTCTCTACAGGGTGTTATGGGAAGCATAGACTATTATGAGGGCATTCAGAGGTAAAGAGCTCTGATCAAGGACAGAGCTCCCACTCGTACTAATTGAGGCTAGCTTCTTATGAACCATACGAGCATACCTACGTGCTGATCCATATATTCGCCAAACAAATCTCTGAACTCCCAATTTCAAAAAGAACCGAAAAACGCCCTGACTCCCCTCTATACTACCTTCAACTTTGTTCTAATCCACCTGTCATCTACTTTCTACTAGTTCGTAAACCTATCTTTACTTCTTGCTACTATCCTTTACCGCCTTGGTCTTCTTAGTACTACGTTCTCCATTGTGCACCTCATCATATTTCGCCTCATACTGACTAATCTTCCTGGTCTCTTTTTCAATTACTAAAGCCAAGCGCGCGATGCTGTTCTTCATTTTCTTGACCTCTTCAGAACCAACTTTAATGTCTTCACCTGCATCCTTTGCAATATCAAGCGCATTTTCTAGTTTCTGACAATCCTTCTTGCGTCGGGCTCTCTTCTTATCTAATGGAAGCCTTTTAACATAAGCCTTGAGAATATCAAGAGAATATTCGTCTCATTCAAACTTTAAGTGTTTTTCGGATTTAAGATAGTCGCCAAAGGCTACGACTTTCACCAACGCCTAGAACATATACGTAATTAGTAAAATGTACCTTTCGTAGAAGGAATGTCAGTGAGATCTCACATGTTCTTTTCCCCTTTCTCCTGTGGCCTGATCTCTCAACCACATTTCAGCTAGCGTTAGAAGAGTACTTGACCCATCACCAATAACAAATGTCCCCAGAATTCTCTTCTTTGCTTTGGATTGGTCAGAAAGAGACGCTAATGTTCTATCATCCTTGAAACAAAATGCTTCCTCAGATCCTTCTTTGCGGAGACCGACTATTGATTTATCTTGTAGTTGATACCAATAAATCTGAACTCGTACCATGATTGCTCGATACTGTGGTTGTGACTTGATAACGATATGGATGAGTTTATAGCTGCAAAGAACGATTCGAAATGATGATATGTGTGTACAATGTAGAAAGTACGTATTGAATATTAAACCACAAAAGAATTATATCGAGCTTCATGTAGAACTTCCGCGCAACAGTATGCTGGGTATCTACAACTAAGGGGTCTCGCGAACATCGAAGCGCAAAGGGTCCCAAACCAGTCCCCTGGCGCCGACCAAGCAGCAGGCCATGATCTAGACAAAAGCTCAGATAAAACATATATCACTAGGTACGTAGCGATGAAACGAAACACGCAGGATTAGAATGAAGGTCATTCTTGGGTCTTCATCGTGAACTCCATAGGGGTCCCAATAGAGTGGTATATCAGACCCGTCAATTGTATATTCATCGAATTCGAGTTTTTCATCTCATCCGAACTTTACAATCGATTAACTCATTCTATATCACATCTTTTTGAATAAGAAAAAAGATTCGAAGATCTATTAAAACACATATTAATCACTTGTTCTCAGAAGTTCACGTTTAAGCTATTTAACCAACCAGAAGTTATCATTCAAAAATGCTGTACGGACCACTTACAAGGAGGCCAACTACTCTATTTTCTGGCCGCTCCTATTCTGGGCCACTCTTCTAAACCAAAAATAACCCTTTCGATTTATTAATAGATTTGCAAGATCAAGCGAGACCAAGTTGTACTTCATTGCGTTGCACTCACCTATCTCTACAATTATATTGTTTTCATATTTGCAGATTCACAAAATCTCACTCTTGCTGGCACGACTAATTAGTAGATTCTTTCAATCACATGAGATGTTTATTCTTGATAGAGCATCCGTGAATCTCTTTTGAGGCGATATCGATGGGTTCAATGGCAGATCGACAATGTACATGCAGTATTTTACTGCATGCATCGAAATGACTGTGTACAGCCATGAAGTGATACACTTATTTAGAGGTACATTTTAGTTATTGGATGTACTTAAGCAACATATATTCGTCATTTCATGTGGCTCACCCATTGTTCTTCAAGCTCTGATCCCCAGATTCTCATACAATGCCTCTCCTCTCAAAGTCCATGTAGAGAACTTACACAGCTTTCATCACTTTCGTAAATCTAAGCACGACCCGTACAAGTAAATCCTGACGTCCCAACCACATTTGTACATTTATACCCCACTCCAGCCGTCTTATTCGCATCTACAACGTCGATGTTTTCCATGGTGATGTCTGTGCAAGGGGCGACAGCGCTACATTGAAAGCTGGTTACAGGATTCGTCATACTGCCGGATATGTTGTACATATTTAGATCGCTTATTTGAACTTTGGGACGTTAGCTCAGGAATGTGGTAACACGTCCCATGGGAAAATGTGTGGAGAAAGTTGAACTAATGAGGTTGGAAAAGGGGGAAGAGCTGAAGTACTTACACGCTGATGAAGAACAATTTCCTACTGTACCTGAAAATGTTGTACATTGTGAAATAGAAAACGGTGGACCCCTCAAGGAATGGAAAGAGAAATTTTCAAACGTTATGTTTTTTGCAACTGTGCTCATGTTAGAAACAGTCTCAGGATCTCCATCAGAAACAACCAAAAACACTTACATCCCAGCCCCCCACCTCCACCATTGGGTGGATATCCCACTTGCTCCCCCGTCCACGTTTTCACATATCCTCCATGCAACGTCTTATAAAATACGATTCCCGTCGCCGTCACATTTTCAATACTCTCGTATACCCCCTTGTATTGTCCAATACTGCCTATCGCCACTCCCAACCCGTTGTAGAATGTTGAGTTCGTGATTAATATGTTGGTACTGTTAGCTTTCATAGCTATGCTATCATCACCATTAACAACTGTCCAGCGATCAAAGTGGATATCGTCACTATAGATCGTATCTGCACCATCTGTATTGCGCGAGGGGCTACCAGAAGAGGAAGTACTGTTCACGTAGATGTCTTGGAGGAGAATTGAGGATGATTTGAAGACTATCATGGTCCTATTCGATTCGTTAGATCCTTGAAATATCATAAAACCAGACAAATAGAATACAACATACCACATCTGACTCTGCACAAATCGTAACCCTTTGAATACGGAATTCGTCGCATTCCATATCGTAAGCGCATGAGGTCTGTTCGGATAGTTCGAAATTCCCTTGACAAAATCATACCAAGCTTGTCCATTGCCATCCAAAGTCCCGTATCCATATCCGTTCACGTTGATGTTATCGCCGCCGAGCCACCATGCTGAAGTTTGATTTTGATAGCCGAAGGCCATGGAGTGGTTGAGCCAGTAGGTTATATTTGTGGACCACTTTACATGGCAGGTTAGTTGACGAAATAGATGAAGGGAAAGTGTTGGAAACACACCAATAGTGTTCCATAGATATCTATGTTGCAATTCGAGAGTCCCGTAGTGTTCATGATACTGTTGATGGTATATGTATGATTGAGAAAGACGACAGTTCCATCCTTGCCGCATGTTTTGAATGCAGATAAAATAGCAGGCGCATCGTCCGTACCGTTCAAACTGGGTTGGACGGTACAAGTAGCTCGAGGGACAAGGGCTGACGGATTTCCATTGGTAAGAGTTATCGAACATACTCACCGCACACCGTGATGTTTTGTGACATAATCCCTGCAAAATTCATATTTTGCCATATAAACTAAAATATTAAATAATTAATACAATTCTTAATATTAAATTGAAATAAGTTGCAAATAAATAATCTGATTTATTTTCTATATATAAAAATTTCTAATTTATTTTTAATTATTTTTGTTGAAAAGTTATATAAGCTTTTAATTGAAAAAGCTTAGAATTTTTAACTTGTAACACTTTTCCTATACAAAATAAACAAATTTTTCGAATTTTCAATTTTAACCCTTTAAAAATACTATTATAAAAATATTTAAAAATAAATGGTATATTTTTTCGAATAATTTTATTAATTTTGAATCTTTTTATAAAAAAAAATTTAATTTCATCTTTTATTATAGTAAATAAACTAAGATATAAAAAGGTGAATAATCTTATATTTTAGCCGGAAAAGCGTTACATGTGCGGTGAGCAGGGGCTAGAACTCTTACTACCGAAGAAAAACGAAGCAGCCAAAATCGCGAGATAATTATGCGATCTCATTTTGAGTAATAAATAGCTATCTCAAAGTACAGAAGAAAGAATTCATATATGGATCTTAATACAGAGACGATATAGAGACTTAAATAGACAAAAATATTTGGTAAAACGTAACTGTGCGTCTTCCCCATTTCTAAATCTCCATTGCATTGTGCGGGGTTGGGGCAACACCATGCAGATTTTGCAAAATAAACTGGAAAATGCAAGCTCAGATCGAACTTCAGATCAAGCTTAATCCAATCGACTTCCTCCGGAGAATTATATAACCTCCGAACTAGGAATACAGAATGCATGAAATTTCAACTATGGCTGATTAAAACAAGATCGACCTGGGTGTTCATCGTCACTGCAACCCTAGAATATACATCTCGCGGTTTCGGCTTCACATGGACCGAGATTTCTAATCCTTTCATCAGTACTGAATGATTAGTTGTGTAGAAACGGGGAGACATATTGATATTGAGGCGCTGCTTATGGTCATCCGAACTGCAAAGATTAATTTGACAATGTCCGTTGGACGGCGAATTTTTGGAAGGTGGCATAAGAAACAGCTCAACGGAAAAAATTGTTTACATGCGGGAAGAAACGGCGGAAATGTCACGGGTAATTGGATAGATAATCTGAAGCGAGCCTCGCCTGGCATCTCAGATCGAATTCCAAAATTGTGCACAACTTCGCAGCCACTAGAAAACTAATCTTGGCTAGCCTTTTTCTCAATCTTGATATCAGTATCACGTTGAATGGAGGTTGAAACCTTGGCAGCACAACCGAGTTGGAGAAAGATTGCAGAGGTAAATGGATTAGTCTGTTAACTCGCTATAAATGGCATATGAACAGACCGGATATTATACTCATACAAATACCAAGTCTGCCATTCCAACCCTGAACCAGCTCCGACCTGCTAAAATCCCCTACCGTCATGTTCGCATTATATTCGTCGTAAATGGGTATTCTAATTGGCTTTCTTTGCCTCCTCTTCCTCGTTCCATGGATGTTTAATAGTCAGGCACCAAATGTCCAAGTAATCGCAAATTGTAACAATCACATCAACCTTACTGTGTTAGCAAATGACAAGAGAGAAAAGAGGAACGGGTACTCACCACAAAGCTTCCATAAACTCCAACCGCAACACCAAGCATGCAGAAGAGATATGCGACCTGGTATACACCACCACCAAGAGCACTTGGCCATCCAAATCCAAAATTCTCCTTCAAAAATGGCCCTGCAGAGTCAAAGACGCCATAAGCAAGCGGTAGGTTCAATACATTCGTGTAAGGGAATGGCAGTTTGACCAAATGGGCAGTGATCATCTGGCCCACCGAGTAAGCATTGACAAGCCCGGCGAAGAAAACGAAAGGAACGAGATGATTGTAAAGAATTTCAGGGTTGAGATAAAGGTAGGCTGGAATGAGCGACCACGTGAAGAAGAAGGGAAGGAGACCCAGAAGCGCGCCTCGAGACCTGTCTCCACGAGCTCTGCGAGCTTTGATCACATTTATGGAGCTGGAGGGGTCGTTAGCTGTGAGACATTCTGACAAGGGTCAAAGAGGGGTAAATTTACCTTTGTACAGTGTTGAGAACCAGCACAATGCCACCTTGAACCATATACCACTCATTGAATGGCAATTCATAGATATATTCAGGAATAAACGGGTAATGTGGGATTCCAACAGTCCTGAACATCGATTGAGTCCAGAAGCTCGCCCCACCTTTAATTGCAGTGAACGCGTAGACTGTGATGAGGATGACAATTCCTTCTACAGGTCCAGAGATCAAGCCCAATGTCAAAGTCTTTGTATGATATTCGTCCCAGGTTTGTACGTAAAATGTGAGG